GGTCCCCTGAGGGGAAGGGTCCCTCCTGGCCTGCAGCTCTGCCCCATCAGGAGCTGCCGCTCTGTCCTGGGGATTGGGGATTGGGGTGGGGGACAGACTGGGTCTTGCTTGGTGCCGTTTGCAGCTCTCACCTGGCGATCGCTGGCCACCCTCACTTAGGAGGTCCAGCCTGTGACACCAGCTGGGGCCTCTAGCAGACCTCTGTGCCACTGCAGCTCCTGGCCCAGTCGTCCTGGCTCTGGGACTGGCTCTCCTCACCCTGACAGCAGCCTGCAGCGTCAGCATCCTTGGGATGGAGGTCAAGCCCTCTCACCCTCCCGGGCAGGCTCTGGGCCCCAGGACAGTTGTCCTGCCCCTCTCCTCTGGGACTGTCCTGAACGGCCACAGCTGGCTCTGATTGCCAATCCTTCGGCTGGGGGTGGCTCCTGGCTGTGTTCCTGTGTGCCCCGCGCTTGTGCGAGGTGCGTTCTCGCTCCCACCCAATGTCCTTCGCTGCACTCCCGCCTGGGCGTGCTGTGCCGGCACTCCCTCCTCACAGGTCCCTCGGGGCTCCTGCCTGGAAGGGTTCCTGTGGAGCTCCTGTGCTCATTCCCTCTTCCAAAAAAGGGGTTTCTTACAGAGCCTCAGCATGTGGGGGTTTGCGATTTAGCTAAAACTTCAAGGCCTTTGGAAGAAATCCCATCAGACCCCTGCTAGCTCTCACCTAAGAGGGACTCGCCCATGGCCCTGCCTTGTGTCGGGGGTTGCTGGGAGATCTGTGCACGTCAACTTTATTTTCCATGATGGTCAAGTTAATTTGCAGCTTGGCATGCCTTCATTGTGTCATGATCTACTAACCAGTCCCTGTTCTAGTTCTAAAGTTTTATCTGTTTGAAAGGTGGAGACTTCTCTTCCACTGTTCACTACTCAGTGCCTACAACAGTCAGAAGTGGGTCGGACTGAGCCAGGAGCTCGACTCAAGCCAGGTCTCCCACGTGGGTGGCAGGGACCCAAGTACTTGCTGCCTCCCAGCGGGTGCATCAGCAGGAAGCTGGACTTGGGAGTGGAGCCAGGACTGGAGCCCAGGCACTGGATATGGAACCTGGGCATACCAAGTAGTGACTTAACCACTGTGCCAAATGCCTACTCCCCACATTGTTTTTTAAGCTCTTAGTCTCTCCAATTAAAAAAAAAATCCTTGAATTATTTATAGGGTAACAGTATTTGCACAGAGTGTCTTGGCAGAGTTCTTGGGTCCAGCTTGGGAACCAAGGCCCCTGGAGTGACGTTGCTGGCTTGGATGTGTCTTGAAGGGAAGGGCCTAAGGCCAGCCTCGCGTCTGCTCGGGAGAGACAGCTGGGGGCTGCTGGACGCTGGGGCCTGAGCCTCTGTGCTCCTGCTCCTCGGGGAGTGAGGGGGTAGGGGGTGCAGCAGCCATCGTGTCTTGCCCCAGGTTTTGTGAGAGGCAGAGGCCAGCGGTGCCTGATGGGAGTGAGCAGAGACAGAACGTCACAGGGTGCGTGCACAGTTGAGCGCCTCTGGTGGCGTTAGCTAAAATCCGCCTTGTGGACTCTGCCCGCAGCTCCCTGGTTACGTTCGGTCCTGTGAATTTTCTCAACTCCCAAGACAAGCGATGGAAACTTCAGGTCAGAAGATGATTAGGCTACAGATAGAATCCCATCTAACGCGCTGGCTACAGGGCAAGGCTTAGAAAGCTCACCTGTGGAAGTGGTCCCTGTCCTGCTGCCCAGAGCCAGCTACCACCAGCATGTTGTGTCTCGCCGTTTGAGAGCATCCCGTGCGTGTGTGTTGTGCGTGTTGTCGAATGGGTTTCAGCCACTTTTTCCAATTACCGGTGTGTTACCTACAGGTAGTTTCCTGTGATTCTGTTTTCATTAGCTACGTGTTTTAGGGTTTTGCTGTGTATTTACTTAACTAGTTAGATTGTTTTGGCTTTTTTTGTTTAAACAGATTTTTACCAAACTGTAATGACTATCTTAGCAGTACAGTCTTGGGCTGACTCATGACAGCTTCAGAAAAAGTTTCTATTCATGAAATCCTGGGCAGAGCGGAAGGGTCGTATTAAATGTTACTGAGGCACAGACAGAAAGATTAAGTAAGTAAGTCAGAGTTGGAGCTCGCAGGGCTGGTCCCCGTCACTGCTGAGGGGACAGCGTTGCTGATAGCGTAGCGTCTTCGGAGAAACCTCTGTCCTGTGCTGGGGGCAGGGCTCCCAGCAGGTGATGGGGGCCACGAGGCCCGTCGCCTGCCCTCGCCCCAGTGTCTGCCTTCTGAGAGCACGGGAGGACCATGTGGCAGTTCTGCCAGGAACTGTGGGACGTCGCCGGGACACGTGCCACCACGAGGAGCGCGGGGCGGGGAAGGGCAGCTGGGCGCTTCACTGAGGCCACGGGTCTGCTCTGGTCCCTTCTGCGACTTCATGGAGGCAGGTAGGTCCCATCCCGCACAGGACCTGGGTGTCTCTTTGAGACACACTGTTAACTTCACAGGGGAAATAAGACACTTGTGGGCATTTTAAAAATGATTTTGTGGATCTGCATATGCCACATGTGGCAGGTGGCCATCTTGAAAGAAATGCAACCGCAAATCTCTCGTCTCTTTTCCCCCTGCAAAACGTGGGTGTGACGCTAAGACACACATCTGTGGTTTATTTAGAGATCATTTGAGAGGCAGAGTTAGGTCTACCATCTGCTCGTTCACTCCCCAAAGGCCCGCAATGGCCAGAGCTGGGCTGATTGGAAGCCAGGAGCTTCTTCCAGGCCTTCTTCCAGGGCCCAAGGACTTGTGCCATCTTCCAGGCTTTCCCAGGCCATAGCAGGATGGGAAGAGGAGCAGCCAGGACTTGAACTGGTGCCCATATGGGATGCCAGCACTGCCGGTGGAGGCTTAGCCCACTATGCCACAGTGCCGGCTCCCAACGGTTACAGTTTTGAGCCAATCAAAGCACTGAGGTCTACAGAAACAGCCCTAGACAGATGGCTGCATTATCTGAGAGCGCATGAATGAATACCCAGTCTTCAAATATTTTCCATAGTAATGTTTGAGACTGGCGGAGAGGGAGCTGTTCTGCTTCAGTCTTTGGAGGTCGGGGGAGGTGAGCCCAGCTCTTCCGGGGTCTAGGGAGGCGGCCGCGCCTCTGGTTTCAGGACCTGGTCCTCACTCACCTGCCTTGGCCTCTTCGGAGTTCTCTCTCCCTCAGTTGTTGTCTTGAGGTCGTTGTCCACCAGTCCGTCCACATTCTCAAATCCCCCTACTGCTAACGGGCCCCTCTCCACCCTGGATTCTAGCGGTGTGTGCAGGTGAAGTCCACAGGTCAGGATCCAGGAAGCTGTAAGAGCCGGAGCGAGGTTGGGACGAGAACGTTCACCAGGCACCCCTGGATGGAGGGGAGCGGGCCTGCACCCACGGTTCAGAGGCCGTTAGATCCAGGATCTTCTGGGTTCTGGTTGTTTTTAAAGAAAGCTCATTAATAGCAGTTAAGGGGTCAGCATTGTGGCATAGTGGGTTAAGCGCCCTCCTAGGACGCCAGCATCCCATATGAGCACCAGTGCAGGTCCTGGCTGCTCCTCTGCCAATCTGGCTCCCTGCTAATGCACCTGGGAAAGCAGCAGACGATGGCTCAAATCCCTGAGCCCCTGCAGTGATGTGGGAGACCTGGATGGAGGGCCAGGCTCTTGGCTTTGACAGGCAGAGTTAGACAGTGAGAGAGACAGAGATAAAGGTCTTCCTTCCATTGGTTCACCCCCAAAATGGCCGCCACAGCCCTGTGCACTGTGCCAATCCGAAACTAGGAGCCAGGTGCTTCCTCCTGGTTTCCCATGTGGGTGCAGGGCCCAAACACTTGGGCCATTCTCCACTGCCATCCTGGGCCACAGCAGAGAGCTGGACAGGAAGAGGAGCAACTGGGACAGAATCCAGCGCCCCAACTGGGACTAGAACCTAGGGTGCTGGCACCACAGGCGGAGGATTAGCTAAGAGAGCCGGGGTGCCAGCCTTTTTTTTTTTTTTAAAGGGTTAACACTGAGGATCACAGCTACAGGTATTCCATGTGTCTGACTCATTCAGAAGTCGCCAGTCTAGGAGCCAGAGTGCTCTTGTTCCCAGGTTGTGACACAGAAAGTCAGGCCCGGGAGGACCGGTCGCTTGCAGGAGGTCCCCCGGCTCCAAGGTGGCAGGTGCTGCCAGTCCGTGCCCGCCCGTGTCTCTGCTGGCAAATTCCTGGCCCTCCAGCTGGTCCCTGCCTTCCTCCTCGCCCAGAGACAGACACATCTGTGAACCAGTTTGCCCACCCCAGCTTGAAGGAATTTCTTGCATATGTACGCGTCTATAGGCAGGCGCTGTCCTAGCACGCGTCGTATCTAGGGTTCCGGTTCCCCCGCTGCGGCGTTTTTCCACGCGGTCCACGCCTGCTGCGTGGAGCCTGTGTCCGTTCCTGGGGCTGCGTTGTTGTCTCTGTTCTCCCCGGCCGGGCTTGTCCCTTTGTGCCTCCACGTGCAAGGCTGTACTGCCATCTCTGCCCAGCCCTCCTTGGGCAGCCAGTGCTGTGTGTTAGCTCGAAGCTTTACCTGAAGGTAGCGACCCCAGAGTTGTGGGTTTTACCCGACATGGCTGAGCTGCTGTCCCGGGGGTCTGCGCTCCCTCCCCCCACCTGCCGGGAATCCTTGCTTCTGTCACGGCAGTCCCTCAAAAACTGCTCTGCCGCATGCAAGGGGGTGCCTGGGTAAGTGTGCCGTGAGTTTTCGGGGTGTGTGTTCTCGGTTTATTTTGCTGGTTACTGGTTAGCTTGAGCTCCCTCTTCTTGCTTAAGGAGTTGGCTGTTCCATCCTTCGTGTGTGTTCTCAGAGATGCGTTTGCTTGTTGACTTGTGGGAATGCCTGGTTCCAGCTCCAATCCTGTGTCTCTTAGATTTCAGAAGTTTCGTGGATGTGTTCTCACCTCCTCCCAGGTGGTGTCCGTGTAAGTGACGGTGGAGATGAAGTTGCCTTTTTTTTTTTTTTTTTGGACAGGCAGAGTCATAGACAGTGAGAGAGAGAGAGAGACAGAGAGAAAGAACCCGGCTCCCATATGGGATGCCAGTGCCGCAGGCAGAGGATTAGCCAAGTGAGCCACAGTGCCGGTCCACCACTGTAGGCATCCTATAGACAAGTCAAGGTCAGTCTTGGGGCTTGTGAATTCCTAGGATAAGAAAGTCACGTACTCCCATCCTGAAGGAGGAGGATGATCAAGAACACTCTGTTAAAATTGACTGTTACAGAGGCCGGCGCCGCGGCTCACTAGGCTAATCCTCCGCCTTGCGGCGCCAGCACACCGGGTTCTAGTCCCGGTCGGGGCACCGGATTCTGTCCCGGTTGCCCCTCTTCCAGGCCAGCTCTCTGCTGTGGCCCGGGAGGGCAGTGGAGGATGGCCCAGGTGCTTGGGCCCTGCACCCCATGGGAGACCAGGAAAAGCACCTGGCTCCTGAGTTTGGATCGGTGCAGCGCCGGCCATAGTGGCCATTTGGGAGGTGAACCAATGGAAGGAAGACCTTTCTCTCTCTCTCTGTCTCTCTCCCTCTCCCTCACCCTCTCCCTCTCCCTCTCTCCCTCTCACCTACTCTGCCTGTCAAAAACAAAAACAAAACAAAATGGATAATGGAGCTGCTTATATTTCTGCCTCTCTTAAAGCTTTTTGTGCAACCTTTTCTACACCTCATGTCGCTGGAATTCCCTGTAACCCTCAGGGCCAAGGCAGTGTTGAACGTGCACGTAAAACTTTAAAGCAGTATTTAAATTAAAAAGGGCGAGTATGGGGCTTCCACCCATTTCCCTAATAAATGGCTTTCACACGCTTGATTTATTCTAAATTTTCTTATGTTGGACAGAGATGGTCGTTCTGCAGCTGATCGACACTGGCGTCCATGGTGAGATGGAGGGATCCTATCACCAACAATGGAGTGGACCTGATCCGGCGCTGGTATGGGGACGAGGGCCTATTTCTGTTTTTTCCCAAAAGGATGATGCGGTGTGATGGCTGCCGGAGCGGATGGTGCGACAGGTGGATACCCTCCCAGCGACGCCCCCTGACGATGCCCCTCGGGACGTTGCTAACGATCGGGATCTTCCTGAAGACCAATGAGTCCTGTCATTTATCCACGCGCCAGGCCAGTGTTACTGTCTCTGTGGGCACTCCGGTGATTTTGAACTGTTCTTGCGTATACCCTAATGGGAGTGGCATGGCAGGATTTGTTCAGTGGGTGCGTAAGAACCAAACTATATTTCTCCAGAAAAACATAACCCATTGGCAGTGGCGCAATGTGTCCGACCAATCAAAAAGAGAAAGTTTCGATTTTAGTATAGCCAAATGGGCCATGTTATCAGATGCGGGGGTGTATTCTTGTCAGTTTTGGAAAAAGAACTCCCCTGATGTCCTTAACGGAACTGTCAATGTAACTTTGTCTGTTAATGCTTCTTTTTCTACTGAATTTGGCAATTTTTGGCTGCACTTGGCCACAACAACTAATACTACTTCTTTTTGTGTTAATACAGCTGATTCTCCTTCCCATCTTCTTGCCAATAATCTTATAGGAATACGCTCTTCTAGGGAGGAGTTTACTAGTATAACAGGCCTCAGTATAACTTCCCTTGAAATAGATAATGTTACTTGTTTATTATTTACCGTGCCATGGCAGCTCAACCAAACTAGCTACAGGGAATTTCATCCACTGAATGGGACGCGGGCTCCTAAGAGGTGGGTTTTTTTATGCAGCCAATACGCCTTTACGTCGTTAGCCCCGACGATTTCCGCAACTGCTCACTGGGCCGTGTGGCCCCGACGCTGGCCTCTGTATTTCCAAAGACACGACGGCGACGTTCACCGCCTGAGAACTGTGATGACACTGTCCTCCTAAGCGGAGAAGACACTGTCTTTTCCATGGCTGTGTCGCTGGTGGGAGTTCCTGGATTGGCTTATGGGATTACCCGTGGAATGCGAAAGCTTGCATGTTTAGTAACCGAGACAGTGAATCTTACCGCTGCTCATTGTCCAATGTAGCCGAAGAACCGGATCAAGTCCGCTCAGGGGTGCTTTTACCAATTATTTACTGTTGGGAGATCACATAAGCTGTGACGCTGTGCCTGGGGGTGTTGTTCTAACATGACTAACAATGTGCCATTTGTAGAGTCTGTCATTGATAAATATCTGTTGCATTTCACTCTTAAGTTTATTAGTAACCCCCTATCACTTGGAGGGTTCCAGTGGATTCATTGGTTATTAACGTTGGCTGGACGGCTACTGCTTTTCCTACTTTGTATGGGATGTTTTCTGTGTGTTTTACAACTTACGTTAACTTTGCTACGGTCTGTATGGACTGAGATCCATCATTTAAAACTTGGCAGCAAACCTCCTTTATAATCAAAATAATTGATATTTGGCCGTATATTTCATCCATCCTCGACTCTTGCCTAATGTCAAGCTGGAATGGTCCTCAGAGACGGGTAAGACACTTGGCATCCCGTACCACCCTAAGACAGGGCTCTAGGCCAGGTTGCCAGTTACCAATGATGGGTAAGGACGGAGATGACTGAGGGCAACCTAAGACAGAGGCCACTCCCAATTAAATAAAAGGGGGAGATGTAGGCAGCCTATGAACAAGTCAAGGTCAGTCTTGGCTTGTGGAATTCCTGGGATAAGAAAGTCACGTACTCCCATCCTGAAGGAGGAGGATGATCAAGAACACTCTGTTAAAATTGTTGCCGGCGCCGCAGCTCACTAGGCTAATCCTCCACCTGCGGCGCCGGCACACCGGGTTCTAGTCCCGGTCGGGGCGCCGGATTCTGTCCTGGTTGCTCCTCTTCCAGGCCAGCTCTCTGCTGTGGCCAGGGAGTGCAGTGGAGGATGGCCCAAGTGCTTGGGCCCTGCACCCCATGGGAGACCAGGAGAAGCACCTGGCTCCTGCCATCGGATCAGCGCAGTGTGCTGGCTGCAGCGGCCATTGGAGGGTGAACCAATAGCAAAGGAAGACCTTTCTCTCTGTCTCTCTCTCTCTCTCACTGTCCACTCTGCCTGTCAAAAAATTAAATTTTAAAAAAAATTGACTGTTATAGAAAGCCCGATAAGTTGCTTGCATGTGTTACCTTCTGTGCTTCCTTGAGCTGCAGCTGGTTAGGAATAAATCCCGCTGAGAATAAACGAGCCTGGGTCAGTTCATTGTCTTGGCTCCATCCTCATGTCTTTGTCCCTCTTCATTCCCACGCCCCCCTTCAGGTTCTGTTTGACTGATGTGGCTGGCCCGCACACACCACTTCCACTTTGACCTGACGTGGCGTGGACAAAGAGTGGTGCTCCAGTCTGTCCATTCACCCTCTCTCCCCGTGACTCCCTCTTCAGCTTCGGGTGGTCTTGTAGTTCCTGTCCTTACGTGCTGCGGTACCGAAGCCCTCAGGCAGCAGGCAAGAAAACATAAGCCCTCCTTGCAGTCTCTGGCTACTCACACGCATGCTCCCCTGGCTTGTCACTCGTCACTCTCGCCTCCTGTGCCCATGCCAGGCCTCGTCACGTGAACACCCTCTGACGTCAGAACGCGGTTCGTCTTGCAGGAACGTGACTGCCCATGATGCTTAACCTTGACGCCGGGACGTGGGATGTGGCTGCCGTCCCACACTGCTCCCCGCGCTCCGTCAGACGGGAGCGGCGGTGGTTCGGCTCCTGCCCCAGCATCTTCAGTGGACGCTTGCTCACTGCTGGAATGAATGGAGATCCAGCGGCGAGATCTTCCCTGCTGTGTTCTCCCCCTCTCCCACAGAGTGCAGAACAAAGTTGGAAGTATGCTAAGCGTCTTCTGCAGCCCCACGTCGGGGAAACTGGACCCTCGAAGGCGGTGAGGTCCGTTTCTTCCCAACCTCCGCTGTGGCGCTCGGTGCCGCAGACGCCACGTCCGCCAGGGCTGTGCTGCTGCAGGGGTCGCCGTCGTTCGCGGACGTGGCCGTGAGCTTCACCCGACAAGAGTGGCAGCAGCTGGCGCCCACGCAGAGGCCCCTGTACCCCGACGTGAGGCTGGAGCACCTCAGCCACCCGGTCTCCCTGGGTGAGCTTGGCTCCCGCCTCTCCCCTCGTGCCCGAGCTGCCGCCCCCTGGAGGGCACTTGGCCCGCAGCGTCGGTGGGTCCAGCCAACCACTGGTCACAAGTCCTGCAGAACCAAACAGTGTCTGTACTGACCAGGCTTGCTTTCCCGCCGTTATTCCCTAAACAACCGAAGCTAACGACTGATTGCATGGCAGTTATGTTGTTAGGCATTGTAAGTATTCTGGTAGATCATCTACGTGAAGTATGTGGGGGTACAGATACCTTATGCAAGCGGAGCCCTGTTTTAAATAAGGAGCGTGAGCATCTGTGGATTTGGTACCCAGGGTGGTATGGGTCTTGGAACCACTTGCCCGCCGTGACGGAGGCGGCTGTTTGTGAAGTCGCCTCCAGAGCGAGGGACCTGGCTCCTGGCCGCCACGTCGGTGTTTCATGGTACAGCCTACACCTCCGGCCACTCAGAAGGCTCGGCCGTAACCCTGTAACGTTCTCTGGGGACCAGGCCCGCTGTGATCGGCCAGCTGGAGCAGGGCAGAGAGCTGTGGGTAGAGGAGGAGGACCTGCGCAGTCCTGCTGTCCAGGTAGGAGCGCTGCGGGGGGAGGGGCCACGAGTCACAGCCAGCAGAGCCTGGGGGGCGCTCTGGTTCCAGGAAACTACTCTTTTTGTATGTTTACTCATTCATGCCTACGGAAGGCAGAGTGACAGATTGAGGCGGGTACACAGATCTCCCATCCACTGGCTCACCCTCCAACGGCCACAGTGTCCTGGGGCTGAGCTAGGCTAAAGCCAGGAACTCCACTCTGGTCTCCTCTGTCAAAGGGGGCACCCAAGTCTTCAGGCCCTAACCTGCGGCCTTCCCAGTACGGTAGCAGGAAGCTGGATCCGCAGGAGAGGAGGTGGGATTTGAACGAGCACTCGGATCAGGAATGTACTGCAACAGCTGGGGCTACGCTGACCCGAAGCCAGGAGCTTCTTCCGGGTCTCCCATGCAGATGCAGGGGCCCAAGGACTTCGGTCATCTTCTGCTATCCCAGGCCACAGCAGAGAGCTGGATCAGAAGAGGAGCAGCAGGGACTAGAACCGGCACCCCTGTGGGATGTGGGCGCTTCAGGCCAGGGCTTTAAGCCGCTGTACCACAGTAGCTGCCCACCCCCCCCAGGAAAGGGTTTTAGAAGCCTTGGATCGTGCAATATGCTGTGGACGTAGGGCCTGTGACCTTGAGACACGAGTTCATCCTCAGATTCTGCTCAGCCCCTCCGTGGGATCTTTGTCTTGTGTTTTCTCTTGGGGTAGGAAAGGGGCTTTGCCGTGAGTGGGGTTCATAGATTTTAATATTTGACGGGTAGAGTTACAGACATTGAGAGACAGACAGAAAGGTCTTCCTTCTGTTGGTTCACCCCCCAAATGGCCGCTACAGCCATCAGGAGTGGTCAGTACAGACACTGTTTGGTTCTGCAGGACTTCTGATCAGTGGTTGGCTGGACGCACCGACGCTGCGGGCCAAGTGCACTTCAGGGGGCGGCAGCTCAGGCACGAGGGGAGAGGCTGGAGCCAAGCTCACCCAGGGAGACCGGTGCCGATCAGGAGCCAGGTACTTCTCCTGGTCTCCCATGGGGTGCAGGGCCCAAGCACCTGGGCCATCCTCCACTGCCTTCCCGGGCCACAGCAGAGAGCTGGACTGGAAGAGGAGCAACCGGGACAGAATCCAGCGCCCATATGGGATGCTGGCGCCGCAGGATAACCAAGTGAGCCACGGCGCCGGCTCTGTCTTGTTTACCTTACACGTCCACACTGTGAAATGCGTCCACTTCCCTGGTACCGCTGGCCCCAGTGAGGCTGCAGCTGAGCGATTCCCTGCCCACCCCGTCCGCGAGCGGCTGCACCAGCACCTGGGGTCCTTCGCCCTCCGCTCTGTCCTGTTTGCCCATTTACCACCACGAACTCCTTAGCATCAGAGCCACATAACATCCAGTGTCAGCAGATATCCCTAGTTTTAATCTTTTTTTCCCAAAAAGTGTAGAATTACTATTTACAATAGGCAGTTAGGCTTAAAACCTCGAAATAATCTTCCCTCCACACGTTGCTCAAACGTCGTGTGCTCTGACAGTGGGAAGGTGAACGCGTCTGTTTCCAGGAAGATGCGTGGCAGGTTGACGCCCAGGCGGACAGACCACACCAAGACCAACTTCAGAGCAGGTGGCAGCCTGGACGAGGAACACCTGACCCCGCCAAGGCTCCAGGCGGGGGAGGGCCCTGGGGAGAAGCCCCCTCGGCACACAGCCCGCCCCTGCACTGCCCAGACAGCAGCCCGTCACGTACGGCTTGTGTGGGGAGATTCTGAGAGCCACCGTGGAGCTCGGGCCTCACGCCTGCCTTGTAAGGAGGACATCCTAGTGTGACGGCCAGGGGAACTTGTTTCTCTACCCTACGCTTGAGACAACAGATTCTGGAGCGAACCCGCATGACTGTAGCCGGTACAGGAAAGCCATAAGTCACAATGTGGCTCCTAATGCCAGACCAGGAACCCCGAGCCCAGAGAAGCCCCACGCAGGTACGAATGTGGGAAAACCTGCCAGGTAGAGGTCGCGTCCATCACAGAGTCCACAGAGGACAGGGACAGTTGCAAGGAGACTGGTCTCGAACAACAAGGAAGTCACACACATGGCAAAGCCCACGGGGACAGCAGCCACGGGCGAGCCAGCCTTCCCGTGCCCAGGCCAGTGCACCCTGGAGAGAAGCCTTAGCGGTGCTCAGAATGCGAGAAAGGCTTCTCCCACACGTCCCGTCTCCTGGGCCAGAAGCCCTACGGCCGCACCGAGAGCCAGAAGGCCGCCTCCCGGCACTCCTGCAGGACCGCGTGGGCAAGGAGCCCAACGAGTGCTCCGCCTGCGCCAGGGCCTTCTCCCGGAAGGCGAACCTCGTCCGCCGCCACAGGGTCCACACCAGGGCGCAGCTCTACGGGTGGGTGGCAGATGTCAGCGTGGAGAAATCCTGGCACATCTAATCACGGAGACCCATGGACGCACCCTGGGCAAGCACCCCAGAGACCCGCCGCACAGCGCCACCACCAGTTGAGTCAATCAAGAAAGAGAAAAGTGATGAGCCGTTGGAGTGACATATTTGTATAGGATACGCTCGACTATACGGGGTGTCTGTGTTAAGTGTGCATATAAGCTTTTCGGTGGGACTTTAGGGTAATAGTGTAGTAAGATTCAGAAGTAATTCAGTGTTACAGTCCTGAGTGTGCTATGTAAAAATATTTTTGACAGGGAACTGAAGACAGTGTCTGTCAACTTTGTGCACTAAAGTATACACTGCCATCTTTTTTTTTTTTTTTTTTTTTTTTTTTTTTTTTGATAGGCAGAGTTAGAGAGACAGGTCTTCCTGCCATTGGTTCACTCCCCAAGTGGTTGCTGCGGCCGGCACACTCTGCTGATCAGGAGCCAGGAGCCAGGAGCCAGGTGCTTCCTCCTGGTCTCCCATGGGGTGCAGGGCCCAAGCACTTGGGCCATCCTCCACTGTCTTCCCGGGCCACAGCAGAGAGCTGGACTGGAAGAGGAGCAACCGGGACAAAATCTGGCACCCCGACTGGGACTAGAACCCAGGGTGCTGGCGCTGCAGAGGATTAGCCTAGTGAGCCGCGGCGCTGGCCTACACTGCCATCTTTGTAACGTATGTTGAAACCAGAACCATAGAATTTACTGAGCCGGAAGCCCACACCCAGCATCACCTACCATCTCCGCTGTTGTTGCGGGGTGAGTGCTGTGGAACCCCGAATCTGGAGGCTACCAAGTTCATGATCACCCCAGGTGATATCTGTATAGTAGATGTCTCAAGTGAAAACCACCCCCCCCCCTTAATTAGCAGTGACGGACATAGAACCTGGGCCCGTTTCCAGTGGGCGGAACCAGAAGTCGTAGTTCGTGGTTGGTGTTGGAGTTGTACCGTGGCGTCCGTTGTGTTCACCCAGAAGCGTGCCCGTTAAACACTGGAGGAGACCACAGGTGACTGCCCTGGAGCCACACGGGGCAGAGGTAACTCCGGAACCTTCGGCTCGTCTCTCCTTGGCCTGTGGGTGTGGCCAGGTTTCTTTCTTGGGCGGTGTCGTGCATACTGACCTGTCTTGTCTGCATCATACAATTTGCCCTGTTCGTGTCCTTGTTGAGAAACTGACCAATTTCGAACCCGTTTAGAGAAGCGAGCGCAGGCGTAGCTGGAGGAAGGACGCCTCCCTTCGCGTTTCTCAGGGTCCCATCAGCTCCAGCCCAGCTGCCCTGGAGTCGAGCGGCGGGGCGGGTGGGCGATCGGCACCCCTCTGTCAGTGTGCACTGATAGAACTGCTCTGAAAAAAATACAAGCTTTAGAAACATGGTTCCTGGCTCTCCACGGGGAGGGGACTTCCTCCTGCCTTCCGGGGTGGGAGGCTCGAGGGCCGTGGGCAGGGCTTTGTGTCTCTGGCTCCGAGGCACCAGCCTCAGGGAGAGAAAGGGGGCAGTGGGCTGGAAGCAGCAGGGGGCTCCCCAGCTGCGGCTCCATCATGCCGGCCACGGTTTGAACTTCCTGGGCTCCGGCTCAGCTTTTGCTGACACACACTTGGTCCAGCCAGGGAGCCTGGGCTCTTCAGACACAGTCTTTAGGCTGAGGATACCCCTTAGTCACGTCTTGGGGCAAAGCTCCCATGGAATCCAGGACCCTGAGCTTGCAGGCACAGCCAGGTGGCAGGATTGCCTAAGGCTCCCTGGCATCAGCAAGTCGGGTCCCCGCAGCCGGCTCAGACACCTGTGGACGGCTCCGAAGAAGTCGTCAGTCATGTGTGATTTCAGGGCTGCGGCTGGTGCGTGGCGCCTCTGTGCAACCCAGTGCTTTTCCATGATCGCCTAGGACGGCAGAGCCCTTGGGGCTGAGCCCTGCCTTCAGGCAGCGTGCAGTCTCAGTGGGGGTGGGCGAGAAGCAAGGCAGGGGCCACAGTGAGAACCAGGCTTTAGAGTGCCACCTGTCGTAACCGCAAGGAAAAGGGAAAGACACCGAGGAGGGCCTGGGCAGATCCCCGACTGGCACAGCGGGGCTGGGTAGGAGCAGAGAGACGGGGGGTTGCACAGATGTACACTGAGCTGCCTGACCGTAGGTGGCCGGGCTGCCCGGATCTGACGAAGTTCTGCACTTGCACCTACCCACGTCCTTACCACCCTCATCAAGACAGAGACATTCAGCCCAACCCAGACCCGCCACCCAGGGGGGCACGGCTGCCACATCAGCCACCGGCCCCCATCGACTGGGCACACTGGCCTTTGTTTGGATGACACCGCACAGGACGTGCACCTCTCTTGGCTTCCTAGGTGCCGTTCACGCCTCTGCATCGCTGTGTGGTCATCGTGGGCCATGCCGCCAGGCGTGTGCATTTGTGGACATTCACTTTCGGGTCTGGCGCCTCGAAGCAGCGCGTCCCTAAGTTTTGTCCATTACTCGTTTCATTCTTGAGGGAAGACTCCACGTGGCTGGAGTTCGGGGTCGGTTCCAAGTGGTGGCGATTCTGCCCCTCTGGGGACCTTTGGCCGTGTCCAGAGCTAGTTCTGGCTGTCATATGGTATGGTTGCTGATAACTAGCATCAAACCTAGATCCCCTGAACATCTTAGGACAAAGAACCGTCCTGCCCAGAAGGCCAGCAGAGCAGAGGTCCTCGCGTGCCACGCCCGGGTTTGTGTCGGTGTTGGGGAGCCACAGAGGGCTCTGAAAGGGCGACATCTCCATTTAGAGGGAAAACGTCCGGACAGACCCCGCCCCCTCCCCCACCCCGTGCGCAGCGTCAGGTGACGTCAGCCTGGGGGTCCGCCCCCGGCCCCCTCGCGCCCACCACCCGTTGCAGAGCACCCTGCATGTCCCGGTTGCGCAGCGTGTAGATGGCAGGGTACAGCAGCGGCGTGAGGTTGACGTAGATGAGCGAGACCAGCTTGTCCTCGTCCAGGGAGCGGCTGCTCAGGGGTCTGGCGTACATGGCCGTGGCACAGCCGTAGTGCAGCACGGCTACCGTGAGATGGGACGCCACCGTGCCGAAGGCCTTGCGGCGGCCCACGGCCCCCCCCACGCCCAAGATGACGAGCAGCACCCGGGTGTAGGAGAGCAGGATCAGGACCAGGGGCAGCACCAGCAGCAGCAGGCAGGCCGCCAGGAGCACCCGCTCCTGCAGGTCCCGGTTCCCGCAGGCCAGCACCAGCACCGCCGGGAGGTCACAGAAGACATGGTTCACGAGCCCGCCCCGGCAGAAAGGCAGCTGGAATATGGCCGTGGTGAGGCCCAGGGCCAGGACGGAGCCACCTGCGCAGCACGAGGCCAGAAGGCCCCAGCAGAGCCCTGTGGTCATGAGCTGAGGGTAGTAGAGGGGGCGGCAGATGGCCAGGTAGCGGTCCAAAGCCATGGCCGCCAGCAGCAGGCACTCGGAGCCCCCCAGGGCCACGAAGAGGCCCATCTGAGCAGCACAGGTGGCGGGGGCCACGGCCTGGCCCCCAGGGGGCAGGAGGAAGCCGGCCAGCATGCGTGGGGTCAGCACCAGTGTGTAGGCCACCTCCACCGCCGACAGCGCGCCCAGGAAGAAGTACATGGGCGTGTGCAGGGCGGGCTCGGCCAGAGCCAGGCCCAGGATGAGCAGGTTGCCTGCCAGGGTGGCCAGGTAGAGCGGCAGGAGGAGCGCGAAGAGCAGCACTCGGAGCCCCGGGGGCCACCCCGAGAAGCCCAGGATGACGAACTCCTGCGGGGCCGTCCAGTTGGACGCCGGCCCGTGGCTCCAGCTGCGGCCTGGGGGAGGACAGGACAGGCCTGGTGACACCACCTCCCAGGCCCAGGGACCCCCACGCCTGGCCCTGCCCACACCACACTTCCTCAGGGCCACCGCGCCTTCTCCCCATCCGGCGCGTCTCTCCTCCCCTCCGCCCTACTTCCTGCCATCCAGTGGCCGCCACCAGCCCCCCTGCCTGCTGGCCGCCTGTGCGTTTCCAGGTGGCTGGCAGCAGTGAGGGGGTCTTCAGACCTGCCCTCCCCACCCTTCAAGTTATCCCTGCTGCATACCTGACCCTGGCATCCTGGGTCCCAGCCCACAGCCAGGAGGGGGAGGAGGAGCGGGCTGACTCCGTGCCGCAGCGACGACCGGGCCTGCAGACAAAGCCGTGATGGTCAGGGGCTGGGGCAGCACTGGACGCTTCCGTTCAGAGGCCGCTCCTGGCGGACACGGTGTGTGCCAGCGCTGTGCCGGCAGCCCTGTCTCTCCTCACCTGCCCTGTGGTGGTTTGCTTGGTTGGTGCGTTCTCTCTCTCTCTTAGCTGGATTCAGGACAAGCCACCGGTACTTCTGAGCCCATCATTTCTAGGGAAGAACCCTGCAAGGGAAGACGGGGGTGTGGTCACCTGATGGTGACCAGTAGCCCTCGGGAGCAGTGGCTCCTGCTCCTGCGACTGGCGTGGTAACTTCCAAATCTCAGGACCTTCCCGGAGCACGTCCAGTTCAACCTGTCCCCAAATCGGCTCATTTCTAACCCAAATCTCCCCCTCCCTTTGTGGGAGTGGACCTGGCTCCATGCCCGAAGTGGGAGTTGGGAAGCCGTCGGGGTCAGTTCTCGCTCCTGCACCCTCAGCCACAGTGGGGCCCCAGATGTCACCATGTATCTCACCCCCCAGGTCTTCCCTAGCCCCTCTCTCCCGGGTGACCACAGCAGGTGCAAACAGGCCCTCCACCTCCATCGGCTTCCTCACGCTACCACCTCGCGTGGCGCCTCAGCCTCCTGGTGCTCATGTCCACGCCCCTTAGCACACAGCACTGCCGGCCCCACACAGCATGGCGGCAGCTCCACCTGCTCGCTCTCGTGCACTGCACCCCCCCTCTGCATTTCATGAAACTCCCTGGAGCCCCCGTTCTCCACCTGGAAAAGCCCACTGTGTCCTCTGAGGCTGCGCTCACACCGTGTCCTGGGCGCACGCTCCTGTCCCCCACTCAGGACTGGCATTGTCCTTTAACCCCGCAGTCAGTCGTCTTTGTTTGCTGAACTGCTGTGTGTAAAGGGAGGAGGTGCTCAGTCCTCCTTCCTACCTGATTTGTGCCTCTTGTGTCACTGACCTGGGCTTGGGGCTCTGGAGCCATGGCCAGCCCCAGGTCTCATGGCTTTATGACGGCCGATTGCCCCAGATCCTACTGCCTCCCTGCTGAAGTTGCCCTTGGCCGTCACTGTCGGTGTCACAGTGACCTCGGGGACGTGCAGTCGTCCTATGGGCAACACCTCCCAGCATGACGAGAATCGTGCCTGGCTCCCCTCCCGGCCATCAGCGGCCTGTGTCCTGCCTTCTCCTTACTCCTTTAAGAGACACGGTTCTGGGGACGGTGCTGTGGTGTAGTAAGTGAAGCCCCTGCATGGCTGGCATCTCCTATGGGTGCTGGTTCGAGTCCTGGCTGCTCCACTTCTAATCCAGCTCTCTGCTAACAGCCTGGGAAAGCAGTGGAGGATGGATGGCCCAAGTGCTTGGGCCCCTGCCCCTGAGTAGGAGACCTGGATGAAGATCCTGGCTTTGGACTGGCCCAGCTCTGGCTGTTGTGGCCATTTAGGGAGTGAAGCAGCAGATGAAGACCTCTAACTGTGCCTCTCAAATAAGTCAATCTCTTAAACATTTTCTTCCTCTTTCTCTTCCTGTATCCTAACCCCTAAAACTACCGTTTTGAGATCAAAGTCAAGTTCACCTTCCTGAAGAAGCCTTACCTGGCTTGAAGTCTGATCGCCAAAGGCCCTGACGGACACGACGAGGCCCATCAACACCACCGCCATTCCCCGCTGTCTGATCAGTGGCCGCTGCCGCTCACAGGAGGCTGGGAGGGCACTGAGGTCATCCTTGTAGAGCTCAAACCAAGCCACGTTGAGAGCCACGAAATCCCCCTCCAAGCACCGACCACGCAGAGCTGCTCACCGTGCGGGGGGCTCCTTTCCTGGCCTGTGAAACAAGGGAGGTGTTGTGCTTCTGACGTCTTGTGCTTCCGTCACACTGTGATCGTCTTTATTCTCAACGTAAGCTGTTAATTAAGACATTTGGATGCTTTACGAGCCCATCAAGAAGTTTGTGTGCCAACGTCCAGTGCGACGTTCAAGACACCCGGGGTGCCTGGTTTGCATCCCCGCTCCACTTCCAATCCCTCCTTCCTGCTAATTCACACCCGCGGAGACCGCAGGTGATGGCCCGAGTCCTCGGGTCCCTGCTACCCCCGTGGGAGATGCAGGTTGAGTTCCAGGCACCGCACTTCCGCCTGGCCCCGGCGTTGGCTGTTAGACATCGGGGGACATGGACCAGCAGGTGGAAGATCTCTGGTTATCTACTTCTGCTTTTCAAAAAGGTTCATACAAATTTTTAGGGAGTTTGAAAGCCTACGTCTAGTTTAGAATAGCACATCGGAAGGCAGATGTTCAGTAAGCAGGAGGTGGCTGGCACCGTTTCTCAGAAGGGCCGCGGTACGTAGCCAGGAGGCTCCAGCTAAGCAGTGCGCCTGCGTCAGTGTGCACTGGCTCACAAGTGCAGTGCATTCTGGGCCGTCCTCTGAAGCGTGGGGAGTGGGGTCAGAGCTCTGCTTTCTGGTCCCGCCTGGCTTTGGGTAGTCACATTCCTTGCCCTGGAAGCTCGGTGGGCCCTGAGGCGCCCCCCACCCTGGCCACAGTTTCCCAGTTCTGCGAGGGAGGAACCATGCGGGACGGCAGGACAGACGCGAGCTTCCTGTGCCCGCAGTGCGTGGGTGGCGCTGGGCACGGCGGCCCCTGCTTTTAGGAAGTGTGTGTGCTGGACAGCTGGACAGGTGCCCAGTGACACGGACGTGACCTCCAACCCACCCCTCATGGGCCAGAGCTGTGTATTCCAGCACCATGACCGCCGCCGTCTGCTGAGCCGTGACCGCAGGGCCGGGCTAAGCCATGCGGGAGCAGCACGCAGGGACAGGTGTCGCCCTCACTGAGAGGGACCTACTGTTCCTGGGTCACACGGCTTCTGCCCCGATGGGCCGTCCCCAGGCCTGGGGTCCCCAGTGTCTGTGGTCTTAGGCTGGAGGGTGTGGTCTGCTCTCATTAACTGTTTCCCCTCCAAAGAGGAGATGTGAAAGGGACTGGAAGGAAGAGAGCAGCGTTCGAGGCACACGTGGAGAGAGGTGCAGGATCAGAACGGGGCACAGACAGGCCGCAGAGGGGCGGGGGCGGCAGACTTGGGAGCCCCCAGCCCAGGCTCGGGGCTGCCGGGGAGAGGAGGGGAGGGGGCAGGAGAAACACAAGGAAAGAGATGGGGAAGAGAAGAGGGGAGGGAGGGAGAGCGAACTGGAAATGTCTGTGTTCCACCAGCTTCCTGGACCTCACAGCATTTTCCCTCTGCCTGAAACATGAGTTCAGTTGGAGGATTCCATCAAGAGCGCTGAGCTCAGTCCCCACACCCACTCCCCACAAGGGACAATGTCCACGCCACCTCCACGCCATGCCTGGAAGGAGAAGAACCGAGCCGCGAGTGTTCATGGAAAGACAACGCAGACTCAGGACCCCAGCCCTCCTCGCCCGGGTGGGACACAGGTTCCAGCGAGGGCTCCCGAGACAGGCAGAGACCGAGGGACCGGGTTCTGGTTCAAAGAAGTCCCAGTCCCAACCGTGAAAACGTGGACTCACCCTCCTCCGTCTCCTCGTCAGTCCTTCGGTGCGAGCCCTGGATCGGGATGTGCCGCCATCGCTCATTTTCCCGACCTCACCCCCGCTTCTCCAATGTCAGGGCCATCCTGCACCTCTTCTTCAGGGGCCAGGGAAGACGTCAGCCCTCCTGTAAACAGAGCTGACGAAGCAGCAGAGACAGCCGTGGGAGGATTCCACGCAACCTGCGCGGGCAAGGGCTACACCCATCTTCATCCCTCTCTCACCCCTGTCTCCCAACTTTTATTCCCCATAAGAAGAGAGTACTCAATCTTGGAGCGAGAAGGTACTTACCTGGTCTCCCTGGGCCCACTTATGGGTCTGGTTGGATGGAAAGCCCCAGGGCCTCGTTAGAATCCACCCCACCCCGCCCGTGGTGCCCAGGGGCGGAGGGAGAGGAGGACTGGGGAATTGAACCACGGCACCCTGGGACAGTCTGAAACTTCTGGGCCAGGGGGACAGCAGGCCCCCTCCCTGCAGTGACAAAGAGACTGTCTGTGGCAAAAGATGGCATAAACTCAAGCCCAGGGGAGTGAACAGCCCAAAGCACCGGGGCAGACAGCTCCTGGGAGAGCAGAGTCACCGTGTGTACCACGCTTTCCCCAGAAGTGGAACCAAGGGGAGACTGGAGACTCAGGAAGGACTGACCGGGAGTGACGTCAGCGCGGGAGGAGGTGCCAGCCCTTCCGCCCCTGCAGGACCAAGCGTTCGGGGGCAGGGGTCTGCAGCACCAGGGAGGTCACTGGGGACACCCACGTCGCAGATCACAGGGCCTGGTTCCAGTCCCCTTCCCGCTGACGCACACCCTGGGAAGGCAGTGGTGATGGCCCGAGCACTTGGGGCCCAGCTACCCCTGGGGGAGAACCGGCTGGAGTCCTGTGCTCTTGACTTCGGCCTGACTCAGCCCATCTTCCCAGATGGAAGATCTCTTTTTCAAATGAAACAAAAAGGAATGAATTTGTCAAACAGCAATGATGTCACCACTACCTACAGATCGAAATAGCTGTGAGAGAGTTCTAGAGTCTAGATGAGGAACTGAAGCAAACCTGGTAGAGAACAAAACCCAAGAGAAACTGCACAGGTTCATGTCCCGGCCCCCCCGGGGCAGCTCAGCCTCCCGCCGCAGGTCCCCAGCAGGGGTATGCACAGGAAGACAGTGTTCTCACACCAGTGACCCCGCAGCCCTCACTGCCGCCACAGACACCCCCACCTTCCCTGACACGGACCCCAGCTGCCTGACATATTCAAAGCCCAGGTCACGGGCTTTGAGCCCAGACTGCAGCCACCACTTTGTCCCCCGCCATGCACACAAGGGAAACCAGCCCTGCCCATCCCTGGACCCAGCCCCACCATGCCCCACACGTCCACGCATTCCACTGCAGATCAGAGGGGAGGCAAAAGAGGAGGAGGAGCCAAATCTACAGGGTTTATGGGAAACCGTCAAATGACTCAGTATATGCGTTGTACACATACTGAAAGGAAGAGAGGAGAAAATCATTTAAAGAAAACTGAAAACATCCAATCTTAGAAAGGAAAAGGACCCCAAAGGGAAGGAACGTGAAGAGAGTAAGAGATTTTACCATTCAGCTGTCAAAAGGCAAAGGAAACAGCATTTTTCAAAGTGGCCCTAAAAAAGGGACCCCTCACAGACAGAGGACTCCCACGAGACTATCAGCCGCTTTTTCAGCTGAAGCTTTGCAGACTGTAAGAGGGGTATTCAAAGGAGGAAGACTCCCAGCCAGGAATCCTGTTGTTGGAAAAGTAGCCTTCCTAAATTTAAAGAGAGTTCAAAGGCAGAAGTCTCACATCTGCTGGTTCACTCCCCCAGTATCCACAATAGCTGGGCGCTATGGTGTAGTGGGTAAAGCTGCCACCTGTGACACCAGAACCCCATAGGGCACCGGTTTGCTCCATTTCTTTTTTTTCTTGGACAGGCAGAGTGGACAGTGAGAGAGAGAGAGAGAGAAAGGTCTTCCTTTGCCGTTGGTTCACCCTCCAATGGCCGCTGTGGCCAGCGCACCGCGCTGATCCGAAGCCAGGAGCCAGGTGCTTCTCCTGGTCTCCCATGGGGTGCAGGGCCCAAGCACCTGGGCCATCCTCCACTGCACTCCCGGGCCACAGCAGAGAGCTGGCCTGGAAGAGGGGCAACCGGGACAGAATCCGGCGCCCCGACCGGGACTAGAACCCGGGGTGCCAGCACCGCAAGGCAGAGGATTAGCCTAGTGAGCCACGGCTCCGGCCATGCTCCATTTCTGATCCAGCTCCCTAGTAACGGCACCTGGGGAACAGCAGAGGATGGCCCCTGCACCACGTGGGAGACCTGGAGGCAGCTCCCGGCTTCAGGCCGGCCCAGCCCTGGCTGTTGTGCTCATTTGGGGAGTGGCAGATGCAAGAGCTCGCTCGCTCTCTCTTCCACTCTCACTCTGTAACTCTAATTCTGCCTTTCAAACAAATTATATCATTAAAAGAAAGGAGATAAAAAATTTCCTAGAAAACAAAATAAAAAAGGAAATTCTTCAAATTAAAATAAATATATGCTTGATAGCAACGTGAAAACATCCAAGCATAAGCGTCATAGTAAAGTTATATACACGAATATAAAATAATGTCACATCCTAATGTGAACACTGAAAGGTAAAACGGAATAGCCACAGGGGACTGGCATAGTGGCTAAAGTTGCTGCCTCCAACACCAGTGTCCCCAGTGGGTCCCAGTTTGAGTCCTGGCTGCTCCACTCCCATTCCAGCTCCCTGCTAATGGCCTGGGAAGGCAGCAGAAGATGGCCCAAGTGTTTGGGCCCCTGCACCCACCCATGTGGGAGACCTGGAAGGAGCTCCTGGCTCCTGTCTTCAACCTGGCTCAGTCCTGGCCACTGCAACCACTTAGGGCGTGAACCAGTGGATGGAAGACCTCTCTAACTAAACCACAAAAATTAATGACTACGTAAACAAACTGATTTCGAGAACACAAAGCACAGAAGCAGAGGTTACAGTGCAGTGTTTTACGCCGCTGAGGTTGTTACCCTCGGAAAACACACGGTTATGATGACTTCCTGTAGGTCTCATGGCAACCGCAGAGATGAAACCTGTGATACAGAAACATTAGAGAATTACAGCAAATCACTGTGAAAAATAATCATGTAACAGGAAGATAAGAGAGGGAGAGTTTATTAAAAAAAAATTGCAAAAAAAAAAAAAAGGGAAAAAGGGTCCAGCACTGTGGCTTAGAGGGCTCAGCTTCCACTTGCCAGCATCCCATGTGAGCACAGGTTCGGGTCCCAGCTGCTCCACTTCTGATGTAGCTCCCTGCTCATGTGCCCGGGAGGGCCACAGAGGGTAGACAGCTTGGGCCCCTGCACCCACGTGGGAGACCGAGAGGAAGCTCCTGGCTCCTGGCTTCAGAGTGGCCCAGCTCTGGCCATTTGGGGAATGAGCCAGTGGATGGTGGATATCCCTCTCTCTCTCCTTCTCTCTCTGTACCTCTGCCTTTCAAATAGATTTTTTAAAAAATTGCAAAAAGGATAGAAAACAATGAAATAGCAATAGTAAGCCCTTATCTATCAATAATTACCTTAAGTATAAGTGGATAAAACTCCTCAATCAAAAAGCCATAAAATGGCTGAAGTGATTTAAAAAAAAATCCTGGGAGTGGCTGTGTACAAGAGACTGAATTTAAATTTAAGGACACACCTAAGTTGAAAGGGAAGAGATAAAGAGACATCCAGCAAATGGTATTCTAAAGAAAGGGTGGGGGCCGGTACTGTGAGCAGTGGGTTAAGCCACTGGCTGCAATGCCAACGTCCCTTATGAGCGCTGGTTTGAGTCCTGGCTGCTCCACTTCCAACCCAGGTCCCTGCTGATGTGCCTGAGAAAGCAGTGGAGGATGGCCAGCGTGCCTGGGCTTCTGCCACTCATGTGGGAGACCCAGATGGAGCTCCTGACTCCTGGCTTCCACCTGGACCAGCCCTGGCCATTCGGGGAATGAACCAGTAGATCGAAGGTCTCTCTCTCTCTCTTTTCTTTCTCCAAGTCTGCCTTCCCTTCAAAGGAAGGAGGGAAAGGAATGAAGGTTATACTTAAAGAAAGAGAGAAAGAGAGAGAGAGAGAAAGGAAGAAAGACTCTCACCAGAGACAAAGAAGGTGATTATATGGGTGGGATAGGAAAAGGATCGATGCAACAGCAGATACAGTTGTAAGCGTAGATAACACCCAGTATCAGAGCAGCTAAGGACAGATCTGAAGGAGGAACTGACAGTGTTGTAAAACCAAGCAGGAGTCTTCAGTATGGCATTCTTTCTTGGACAGAAGGTTCAGACAGAAGCAGCAACGGACAGCTGACGTGAACACAGACTGAGTAGCCCTAACAGGCATGCGCGGCACTTCTCACCGGGAGCAGGACGTCGCACCTCCTCAACCACGTGTGGAAGTGCTCTGACGTCATAGGTTAGGTCACAAAGCAAGTTTCAACCAAGTTATGTAAACTGAAATGATACCAAGTATCTTTCCCAACTGCATTGAAACCAGAAATCAGCAACATTAAGAAAACAGGGAAGTTGGAGCTTGGCACTGTGCCATAGCCGCTGCCTGCAGTGCCGCACTCCGTATGAGTACCGGGTTGGGTCCCGGCTGCTCCACTCCCAATCCAGCCCCTGCTGGTGTGCCTGGGACGGCAGCAGAGGTCAGCCCAGGTATTTGGGCCCCTGAGCCCACATGGGAGACCTGGATCCTAACTTCAGCCTTGCCCAGCCCTGGCCATTGCGGCCATTTGGGGAGTGAACCAGTGGATGGAGGATTGATCTCTCTCTCTCTCTCTCTCTCTCTCTCTCTCTCTCTCCCTCCCACTTGGGAGAGTGGCTTTCAAATAAATATTTTTTAAAAGTAGGAAAATTGACAAGTAAGTGGGAATTAAGCAGTACATTCTTGAGTAACCACTGGAAGCAGAAAGCCAAAATGGACCAACCCTGGCTGTTGTGGACATTTGGGGAGTGAACCAGCAGGTGGAAGATCAATCTCTGTCTCTATCCCCCTGCAAATAAAATAAAGACAGATTTTCAATTTATTGACTTATTTGGAAGGCAAGGTGAGGGCGGAGGAAGAGAGAGATCTCCATCTCTTGGTTTATTCCCCAGTTGGCTCCAACAGCCAAGTCTGTGCCAGGCTGAAGCCAGGAGCTCCCTCCTGGCCTCCCATGTGGGTGGCAGGGGCCCAAGTACTTGGGCCATCTTCTGCTGCCTTCCCAAGCACATAGCAAGGAACATGAACTGGAAGCTGAGCTACAGGGACTCGAACCAGCGCTCCAGTGTGGGATGCCAGTATCATAAGAGACAGCTGTGCCACAACACTGGCCCCTAAAAATCAGCGACATTTTCCGGTAAATAAACCTTGAAACAAATGGAAGTGAAAATGCAACACACTAGCATTTATGAGATACAACAAATGCAATATTCAGAGGGAAATTTATAGTGATAAATGCCTACATTTAAAAAGGAGGAGGGGTCAGCCTTGTGGCATAGCCGGTAAATCCACTGGCATCTCGTATGGGCTCATGTTCATGTCCCAGCTGTTCCACTTCCAACCCAACTCTCTGCTCATGGCCTGGGAAACGAACCAGCAGATGGAAAATCTGTCTGTCTGTCTCTGTCTCTCTCTTGCATGTAAGCCCTCCCTTCCTCTCTGTAACTTTGCCTTTCAAGTAAATGAATACTAAAAAAATAAAATAAAAAGTTTTAATTTATTTATTTGGAAGGCAAATAATGCCTTCCAAAGACAAAGAGACAGATCTCCCCTCTGCTGGGACCTCCCCAAACAAGTGTAACATATGGTATTTGTCCTTTTGGGGCTGGATTATTTCACTAAGTATGATGTTTTCCAGTTTCATCTACTTTGTTGCAAATGACAGGATTTTTTTTACCATTGTGTAGTATTCCATGGTGTACATATCCCATAATTTCTTTATCCAGCCTTCAGTTTAT